AAGTTTGTAATAATATTATATTTATATTAATTAACAAAATATATCAACTATAATTTTATTATAAAAAGGTATTTTTAGTTTATTCGAGAAGGTAGCAAAAATATTATTGATTAATATATTTTAATGTATTTTCCAGTTTTATTTATATTATTTAGAAGTGAAATAATTAATTATCTTTTTTAATATTTACTTTAATTGAATAATAATACATTTAATCAGCGTAAAAAATAAAGCCTTTTTTTTCTAAGCATTAAAGCTAGACAAAATATAAATCCATTTGTATCAATTTTACGTTGAAATTTTCTATATCAAGCCTGTACTGTATACAATCGTCATCAGAATCGAAACTAGTTAGATGCATTAATAGGGTTGGGTTTAAAATTAAAATTAAAATGAAATCAACTAAATCAAATCAACCGAACCAGATAAGATTAATTAATGCTGTAAACTACATCATCACTCGATATTACAATAGTACTACATATACAAGGGATTCGAAAGGAGGATGTAGAGTTTTAGAGAAGTGGATAAAATTACAGAGAAATATCTAAAAATAACCGAACTAAAAATAAGGAAAAAAAAAAGTTTATCTTCTTCTACTTATTAAAGACAATTGGATTTGCACGAAATTCTATAATTTAGAAAAAAAAAATTTGTTTATAAAATAAAAATAAGATCGATGATATCAACCAATTTAATTTTACTGTCGAATGAAAATTAAATTGAAGTAAGTGGAATGTGACAAATTAGTCACACCTGAAAGAAAATTAAACTGAATCAAATTGAAGATAAATCAAGAGATGATACCAAAAAAAAAAAAAAACAAATATCTTACTATAAAAAGTCATTCATCACTGATCAAATATTGATTCTATGAAGTTTTATCAATTGAATATCAACAATTTTGTCAATTATAAGATACTTTATACATTCATCGCAAGTAATCAGGCCATACTTTAATTATTATTATTATTTTTTTTTTCCTACTTGTTTAAATGTAATTTATATGTAATTAATTATAATTATTCCATATATATAATGGGATGTAAGGATAATTTATAAGGGTACGTATGCGCTTATAAATTATTTACTGAAAGAATCATTACTATTGTAATAATTATAAATGAAATATTTTAAAACTAATTTAAAATTAATACGTGTTTGGAATATTTCATTTAATAATTTTATTAATTAATACATGTATATATTTTTATAATTTTGTGTATGATAATTATCAAGAAAATGTCTCGAATATTCTTTAATTTAAATAAAATTAATAAGGTTAATACTTATATAATGATAAAATTATTATTATTTATTATTATTTCCGTAATAAATTATGGAAAAAATATTTTAAATTTTTATGCAAATTTTAAATAAATTAATAAATTAATATGCTTTTATTTAAAATTGTTATCAATTCAAGCAATTTAGTATATTAATTATAATTATGGAGTGTTTTATCTTTTTCAATTTAGTATGAAATTATTTCTACCGTAGACTTGTTAACATCCTTTAAAAAAGCAATTTTAAAATTTAGATTTTGTATAAAATTTTACATATCAGAACAATTTCGGGTCTTAACATTTTTATAAAATTTAATTCTAATTAATTTTAAACATAAACGATCATCTTTGATGAAATTTTAATATGGAATATCTTATCTCTTCCAATTTAAAATGAAAGAATTTATATCCTTTAAAATCTTTTAAATTCGGAATTTATACATTCTCCAATTAATATTTTTATAGAATTTATAGAGAATATTTATATAGAATTTATTTTAATTATCTTTTATACAGCACCATACATTTTTTTTTTTTCATCTCTACCAATTTAATACGAAAGAATTAATGTCCTAAATTTGTTAATAACCTTTAAATAAATAAAGTTTTAAAATTTAGAATTTGTGTAATATTTTATTGCAAAGGCTTTCAAATCGATTAAATAATTTTGGGAAGGTTAAGAGAGAGAAGAGAGAGAGAGAGAGGAAAATTAATCTCCATTAGAAATTGCTAAACGCATTTAAAAGTGTACTTCAAAAAATATTATTTACTAAGCTGATTTAAACTATATTTAGAACTGAATCCGAAATCGTTTTCTTTCCTTCTTATCTCATAATAATCTTGTTATAACATATCATTTATGTTAACGATGTAACATTTACATTAATTTTCTGACTCATCCCAATCTAATCTTTGTTACTCTATAAGATGCCACTATATATTATTAACCTTATCAAGTAGAAATTGTAAAATTATATATATATATTTAATGTGTTAATTTATAATCATTATTTTAAATTAATGCATTAAAGATCATATATTTTTTCTTCTCTCAGACAGGTGCAAATAATGTGTTTTTTCCCCCTCCACGATAATATCGTCA